AAACACAAAAAAAGGATTAATTTCTTCCTGTTTGGTGATAAAAACAGGTGGCGACCGTAAAAATTAATTAAACGTCCTAATCGTCCGGTCACAACCTAACCTTAACCTAAACTCTTCTTTCTGCATACCTTCTCGCAAAATGTCCACAATGGTTAATCTATGTTACTACAATATCAATAGAAATAAGTAAAAATCTTGCGAGAAGGAATGCATAACGAAGAGTTTAGGTTAGAGTTAGATTAGGTTAGGTTTTGTAGGAGGAGTGCATGGGTGCAGCCCCCCTGCCTATACGCTTACGACAATAATTGGCAAATTCCGTCCAGTTTCATTAATGCACGCGAATAGACGAATAAGTGAAGAAAAAGTGTCTCCCCACTCTCTCGCCGTCTACACGTGTGCGATAAAATGTAATACAACCAAAATATTTGTTTCCAAAATCAACACAATGGTGAAAAACAAGAATTCAATTCCAAAACTTCTTTTGATTATAACTCAAAAACTAAAGCCGACCGGCGGTAACATGTATAGGGAAAAGTTGTTCAGAATAACGTCCTTAACAACATATTTTGATGTCATTGAAATTGGTGAAAAAGTCCGCTTAATTAAGAAGATTTTCCAAGTTTCACTTTTTTTTAAAAAAAAGGAGAGGTACAGAATTTTTCTGAGCTTCCCCAACTGATTCCTCATTAGACTGACAAAATAAAGCGTTCTTTAAAAAAGCCGAGTTAAAATAGCCAAAATTGAGAAAAGCTGCTAAACTGCATAATAACCAAATATAGTTATTATTTATTTTGTAGAAGTAGTGATACGCTGCTTATAGAAATGATTAAGCGTTATAATGCAATTCCTATAGACAATGAATGGAAGAATATCGAAGACTTCGCAAACTGTTTAACAAGTATCAAAACAGCAATAGAAATCTTTTCTAGGGTAAAATATCTAACAGTTAACCTTGCATTTTTATTTAGGTTTGTAGTTGGTTTTGTACATCTAAATGTAGTTTACTTCCAAATGAATAACAATATTGTTGCGTCCGCAGTGGCGGTTCAGCTCTGTCGCCGGTCTCCGCGATTCGCACTCACACCCGCGGCCAAGAAAGGACGCGGTTTCTCGTTAAAGAACTTTATTACAACTCGAAATACAACGATAATTATAGAATACAGAACCAAATGTTCAAACGCGTCGTGACAGTTCCGCGGTCGCGATTCTTCTCTCTTGCTTCTCTTCTTTTCAACAACCCATCGTCGCCCGGTAACCGACAGTCGCGCCGATCGCGCGCCGTTCACGCGGCTCCCGCGACACATACGCGGTGACCCCCGCGTAACAATATTATAAAATGTATATTAATATGCGGTGTTCTCATTTAAGTAGTTCCTTTTTATATTTGTATATCATAAATTTATTTTATCATAAAATTTAAAGAAGTTACTGAATACACAGTCATATAACTTTCTCTTCATTTATTCAGGGCATAAATTGAAAGCAGTATGTGTGTGAACAAAGATGATTCATTTATAATAAAGCAATTTAAAACAATTATTTTACAAAATTTACCCCCCAAATGGGTTCCCACCTTGTAGTAGCTCCGAGGCGGGAGCTCCGGGTTCGCGGAGCGCTCGGTGTGCACGTGGTCTGGCCGCTTTGCAGTAACTTACACGAAACGTTTATTTTGCTCCCATTGTGTGCTGGTGACGGCGCGACCGAGCAGTGATCGTCAGCCTCCGAGTGGACGCTGGCTGATCTGCCTGGTCGTGTTGCCACAATGAATGTGTAAACTGACGGGACAAGTATTGACCACAGAAAGTGAGCATCTGATGTCCTCAGGGACTCGGGGGTCTCGCGTCGGAATGGGAAGTGGAGCTTAACGTTGCGGGCGGTAGTCACCCGCTCAGGGGTGAGCCCGTCTGCGGCCAACTAAGAGGAACCCCCTAAGCTAAGGTGTGAGCAATCGTGTCGAGAGCTGCGTGGCGCAAAAGGTGTTGCGTCCTGAACGGTGCCTTCTGGATACCGGACAAACTTCAGGAGTACGGAGCCAAGCCCCGGCAGTACGCAGCTTTGGCTAGGTGAGACCGCGCGACCGCGACACTTATGGGACTTGAATGGATAGCATCTCTACAAGCATCTTCCAAAGCTCTCAAAAGCAAAACTTCTTCCGGAAGCAAACACCCAGGTAGTCCAAATGTTACAAGAGCAGGCTCTGTAGCCCCACTTCGCAAAAGACCTAGCGGAGCCGCAAGGCGCCGTTTGAGAAACGAGAGGCAGGCGAGGGAGAGTGTGGCTGCTAAAGCCCCTCACACCCATACTGTTTTTGTTTTAAAAACAGGAATTAGGAGTGAACGGGCTTCGGGTAGCGCGGCAAAGCGCGCCAGGCCGGAGCACGCTACCCCTAGTCCCCTTATCAATTGCCAGGACAAGAGACCTAGAAATGAAAGGTCTTATGCCCAGGTGACAACAGGAACTATCAAGGTGGCTCTAATATTGGAGGGCTACCTCGACAAGAAATTAGGAGCTGATGAGGGGTTGGAGATCAAGAAATTGATTAGGTCTCGCATCCTCGGCATGTCCGGAAATGCCAAAGCCCCCACCTTCATCGGCACCTGAGACATAAATGGGGCACTGGTGATAGTGTGCGCCAGTAAAGAGTCGGAGGAGTGGCTTAGAAGTCATTCCTATTATTGGAAAATTAGGGGAACTGTTTTGCGTGTGTTGGCGGCCGGTGAGCTACCGAGGCGTCATCGGGTGGTGATACACGTGGAGGAGCCCGATGTAGAGGTCGAGGAAGCCTTGAAGCTCCTCAACCAACAAAATGCGAGACTGGCAACCAATGAGTGGGTCGTCGTCAGGAGAAGTCGAAGTATGGACGCCACGGGCGCACATTTCGCCTGTCTGATTGGCGACTCTTCGCTGGAAGCTCTAAAGAACCGCGGTTTCAGACCTTTTTGCGGAACCGGTTGCGCCACTGTTAAAGTGGTGGCAAGCTGGAAACGCGGAGAGGCCACCGAGCACGTGGAGGTATCGGAGAGTGTCAAGACTGCTTAAAATGGCTCCTCTTGGCATCCAAATGACACAAATTATCTTGCATCATAGCAAGAGCGCCTCGGCAATTTTATTATATATTTATATTTAATCCAAAAGTCTTGAATTGTAAACGGTGCAATTAGAGAACTGAGTGGGTGCGGTAATTTGTACAAAGCACACTCGGAAAAAAGAGTAAGATTTTGCATTTTGGTTAAAGAACTAAATGCCATCTTTCTGCCACAGCTCAGCAGTGAGGACCTCACAGTCATCAGAGTGAGAGTACAAGGAAGAAGACATGGAGGTACTGATAGGGTAGCTTACATGCCTTTTGACTCCAGGGATCCACCACTGCAACAAAAGGTAAAAACCTTGGTGGCCTATACGGAGGAAAGGGAACTTGAACTCCTGCTGGGTTGCGATGCAAACTCCCACCATGTCGGATGGGGGAGCACCGATATCAATTCGCGGGGGAAGAGTCTCCATGGTTTCCTAATGGACACAGAACTTACCATCCTAAATAGAGGAACTGAGCCGACCTTCCAGGACTCAAGAAGACGGGAGGTTATTGACATTACGGTGAGTACGGAGAGGGTGGCGGGTCTGGTAAAGAACTGAAAGGTCTTTAATGAACTTTCGGGATCCGACCACAGACAAATACGCCTAACTTTTCAACACTCGCCACCGATAAGCTGGGCTCGCAATCCCAGAAAGACTATTGGGACGGCTTCAGAGCTTACCTCAAGGTCCGGCTTGCTGGAGCCCCAACTAGTTACAGGTCTAAGAATAATTTAGAAGATGCGGCGGATTACTTAAAAAACGCCATTGTAGAAGCCTACGAATCAAACTGCTTGTCAAGACCAAAAAAGGCGGTGACCAAGAACCACTGGTGGAATAATGAGCTTGAGAAGCTGAGGTCAGAAACAAGAAAGGGATTCATCAAAGCAAAAGGAACTGGCCTTGCGGCTCACCGGGAAGCTTTTAAAAGGTCCCAACAAGAATATAGCAAGGCAATCACAAAAGCAAAATGCAAAAGCTGGAGACACTTCTGTGAAAGTATTGAGAGTGCCCCGGAGGCATCCATGCTTTGCAGAATCTTCAGCTTAGATCATCGTCCTCAGTTGGGCTGTCTTAAGCTTCCAACAGAAAACATTACTGAGGAAGAACCAAACACTCTAAAACATATAATGGATGTCCACTTCCCAGGATTAGACAATAAAAAAACAATCGGTCGAAGCCCAGGGAATATAAGCCCAGGGAGTGGCATTTAGCAACAAAGGTTGTCTATCCGAGAGGTGTTGAATGGGCTGTTAAGACCTTCAACCCTCAAAAATTACCGGGACCAGATGGAATCTACTCGATTCTCCTTCAGGAGGATCTGGGGATTTTAATTGGTCTACTTACAAAAATCATTAGAGCAAGTATTGCCCTAAGACACGTCCTCCAGGCTTAGAGTGGAACGAGAGTCGTTTTCATACCTAAGCCTAGCAGAAATGGCTACATATTAGCCAAAGACTTTAGGCCTATCAGTCTCACCTTCTTCGTTCTTAAAAAGTTAGAGGTTGATTAATGGGTTTCTGAAAAACGGCTCTTTGTTGGGCGTGTTCCGTTTGACCACAGTACGATTCGACACCGCTCGATTCGACACAGATTTATTCGACACCAAATTATTCGACACCGTACGATTTG